GCAAGTTCGTGACCTTGTTGCGTACAACAAAACACGGGAAAGGGAAAGATCTATGGTTAGCGGTACGTATCATTGTCTTTCAACGATCATGTAAATACTAAGGTTTATTGTCCGTTTTTTCGTCTACTCTAGAAACAGACAATGCAATGTGTCAAAATGCTCTGATAAGATAATTTGGATTTAGTTTTAAATATATTAAAATTAACTTTGTACATAATAAGACGGCAATATCATTATCCTATAAAAATACATTAAATGAATTAATGATTAAATGAATTTGCTTGTTCCAAACAATGAAACATTTGCTATAGAATAACTTGTTTTTAGAAGCTAATTTATTATTTATTGATAATTCTTGTATACACAAGTAGAATGGAAATTCATCCCACAAAGGAATAGATTTGACGAAGAACGAAGAGTGAACGATTTCGGAGAAATGAGATGAGCAGAGTAGACGATTAGAGGAGGAACAAAGAGTTTTGGTGTGAAAGGTACATAAGTACAGTTAAGATAAGAAAGAGTGTTTGGAGATTTCAGCAGAGAGGATAACGTAGTTAAAGCACGCATACTTCTTCGCTTCCGGATGGACGTCCATTTTGAATTTTAACGATATAGGGACACATCATCAAATTTTCTAAGAATAAAAACGGATAGAATCTTCGGTCTCCAGAATCCAGTTAAGCCAGTGAAAAACTGACCATCCTCATACATTGCCCAAAATCTTTAGATCTACCAGAAAATGAGATAGAAACAATTTCTGAAGTACGCAAAGATATAAAAACAGCGCAGTAAACCACGGAATTCTGATCGACTTTGATATGCTGTTGAGAGAATAAAAGCTGCTGGTGTAGAACTGAAAATTACCTGTTTTTCTAATGTCCAACTTTGCCTTGTTGTTTTAAGGGTTAGCAACGTCTCTGGGCTCTATATTTTGAAAAAAAAAAACACCAATAAAGTTTATAAATTTCATCTTAAATATTATTGTTAATCATATATACCGTTGGCACCATCAGCAGACTGTAGAATTTTGGTACAAAAAGAATTCTACCTTTACAGGTTCATTAAGTTTTAACCTACTCAATCCACAACATATGATTTAAGCTTACAAAATCTTTGGTATGAGACAACACGAACGAAGATGCGGGCACCAGCTAGTGGCAAATAATATAACGGTGTAATGAATCTTTACAAGTATTTTGGTTAAACATAACCTCAGTAAAAAGTTATACGACCAAATGAAACAATAACAAAAACTTACTATATTCCAACCTTTCATCATATTTGAGGTTGTTCTAGATATTTATTGAGCAACACATTGTTTGAATAGTTGCCTCTATAGAATAAAATTTATGAATTTCGTTGGGATCGCCAGTTTAAAGCTGCTTTCTTTATGCAGATGATACCTACCATAGTGCTTACATAGAATCCATTCAATCTGCAAATGAAGCGATAGTCATGGAGCAAAATTATGAGTGATGAAAGGCAATTCAACGTGAATAACACATAAGATATTAAACCAATGTACTACTTTGAGAATAGAACTATTCACACCGTCATTAACTGGTCGTCCTCTTTTAATTTTAAATAAGAGTGAAGTTATACTTCACGGAATTGTTACTGTAAACAAATTTATTTCGTGATTATCTTTTACCAAAGGAGGCAATTTGTCTATATAAATTAAAAAAGAAGCATCGAGCACTGTGAAACACCCATGATAGGTGTTGATCTATCGATTCAGGGGATTTCTTGTCACCGATATGAACCTCCTACAAAGCCACTGAACTAAGAGACAGCAAAATCTAACTAGTTATCTCTTAATTCATAATATGAAGATTCGTTATATATTTCATGAACACCATAATTGACAGCTTTAAGTACGTCACAGAAAACACCTAAAACGTTGTGTGAATTCTCCCAGGTATCAACAATTTGTTCTAAGATTCCGATATTCATACCGATACTGAACTTATGCATCCATGTGAGGTGAACCGTAGCTGGTTTTATTATTTACACTTACCTGCCCTTACGGCCAGTTACACTAACCTGCCCTTTTCAGAATGGGATTGCCCAGACCCAGAGTCCTAATTAGATATTCTAGAGAATCACCCGTTTCTTTGAATGTCGAGCTTGTCCTCAACTCTGTGCTTAGAGTTGAACTGAATTGTAAAATTTACCGTAAAACTTTTACCACACTTACGTCACAATAATCAATGCTGATTACCGAATTCAGGAATAAAATTTAGTAACATTTTGGAGCGATTTTCAATTATTACGGTAACCATACGCCACAGGTTTGCATCCGTGATGCGGAAAGTAGATTTAAAAAAAAATAGTTTTCTAATTATAAAACCTTCTGTTGATAACAATTAATGGCTAAAACGACTTCACAAATTTTATTTCAATAAATTTACCAGTATCTTAAGATAGTCAAAGAACGACGTCTTACGAAATAGCGGTGCGTTCGTATCAGTGACGTTCGAAAACTTGTCACGGCTTTTATAATAGGGTGTTATACTCTGATTGCAAAAGTACTTACTTGGTACTTGTAAGTGTTTATAATCGACAACAAAAATATTAATATTAAATCATAATTCCACTTTTTTACACCCATAAAAACACCGTCTGCGCCATATTCATGACGATATTCTGTTATGTACAGATTGAAATATCAATAATAATAATTAAATAACAGTAATGTACAAACAGATTAAATTATTTTTAACAATCAACCAATTTAACAAATGTAATGTAGGGAACTATGTGTTTATTAATGTTTCAATTTTATGTTCATATAAATTTGCATAACTGTTTGATCCTATATATAAAAAAACTAAATATGATGTTATTCAAACGAAAACGGTGTTATCTAACGATCTCGACAAAATAATAATATTAAATAAGGTAAGAACAGTATTATCTCGGAATCTGCTTTTTCTGTCAAATCGGCTGCTGTTTATATATTTTTTTACAACTACTGACAGATGTTAGATTCAGAAAATATTCAAACGAAGTGTCGTCACGTAATGGTGGGTTATGTTTTTAAGTCACATGATGAATAAACAAAAAGACTGGACCTTTAATTTTGATATGTTAAGATAATTATGCGATTTTATTACTCAAAATCAGCCTAGATATGATTTTTTTTTATTTTTTATATTTGTATTTTTGTTTTTTTTTCTTCTCTTATATATTATCGTTGTGTTCATGTAGGTGTGGTCAATAAATTTTCTTTCTTTCTTTATTTCAAAGCAAATTTCAATGATTCTGCAAATTCGTGCTTTACGTTTCACTATCGAAACTACCCAATCCACTATCAAAATTACCAAGTATGCTTAAAATTGTATTATTTTGGTTGCAATACAACTATAGTCTATTGAGTATCGTTTAAAATTGTGTACTAGTCCGGAACACTGTACATTTACCTTACAGAAAAATCTTCGTTTTTCATTATCAATAATTGTATGGCTACGCCTGTTGCGTACTGCAATAGTTTGCAAACCAATAAAGGATATTTAGAGGTATTTTTGTATAAAATTACCGCGAAATTTATCCAGTCGTTTTTCCATGAAAATGTCAAAAATAATATCTATACAATTATTAAATATAATAATTTATATTTTAGTATAAACACATAAATAATTTTTAATATTATATTTCTCATAATAAAAATATTGGGTAAAAAAAAATAACATGAAACTTGGTTTTGATCTGCGGCACAATGAGTACCTTGTGACCAGCACATAGGACATTGCGCCACACCAAACTTTAGTAAAATTTGTGAAAAACCTGTACATTATTATTTAGTACATTGTTTCCATAATTTTCAAATTCATTCAATAGTAACTAATTCCCTTTTTTATATTTGTTTTATAAAGTAATACCTATTTATTGAACTATTTTATTTACACAATATGATTGATTAGGAATTATTTTTTACTAGAGTAACGGTCTACGGGATGGTTTTTGCATGAAAATGTCAAACTTTTGCAAACACATACTTTTATGGAAATATTTACCTATTGTCAAATTTTATGTTATATATTTTTAAAGCAATTAAATTTATCAACTAGACTAGATAATTAAATAATACTTGATTACTGTATAAAATAATATTCAAAATATTTTAACGAATTATTAATGATTAACATATACCTATAAAAAAATGAGAGAGGAAAATATATCGGGGAAAAGAAGATAAAAGTAAAACAAAAATACTTCTTTGATGGGATTGGAACACGAACATGTATTTTATTGGAACTATTTCATCAATATCGGGGCTTTTCTATGAAAATGTCAGTCTGACTTTTGCCTACGTCATACTAACGAAATATTTATTTTCAAATTTTATACTGTTTAATAATAATAAAAAAGTTGCTTTTTAAAATTATGGCAGAAAAAAATGAAAATTAGAATAAAATAATAAAAAAACGACTTGAAAAAATGCGAGCTCTAGTGGGATTAGAACTTACAACTTCGAGACACTCGGGTCCCTACCCTAGTACATTACACCAAAGATATTGTTAAAACGAGAGCGAAATTAAAATACTTATTTTAAATGTTCTTTTTTTTACAATTTTAGCGATCTCGGTACGTCAGAACGCTGCACAAAGCAACATAGATCCATTTAGCAACACGCCTCAGCGTGAACTAAGTTAGTGTGCGTTATTCTATAGCCTTCCCTGTCAATTGCAGTAGGAGTGACAGAAATGTCAATACTTTAAAGTTGCTTGAAAAAAATGACCATATGTGCCATATCACAAAATAAATTATATTAATTATTATAATAACATTATCAAAAATTGGGAATAACCAACTTTTATATCAACCTTTGATACATATTTGTCCTTAATATCATTACTCTAATGTATCACATAATTGAGAAACGTGCCTTTCGCAATATTTTTAGATGCTACTTTGGAATTATTTTCTATCGAGTGAACTTAATACAATCATGTTTCGGTTTGAACCACAAGATCAGAAATACGATCAAGTATAACCACAAATTTTTGGATTACCATAGGTTTCCCGTGAATTAGTATAATCCTAGATCAATTTTATCGATATGGCACTATTCAGATCAATGAATTTTTAAAAATAAATCTAGTGATTTTTAAATATATATACCCATAATTTCACGAAAAAAAAAATTTACATGACAGTAGTAAGTAAATACAAGCAGGGGTGGATTATCTCTATAAACGATCTCTTCCAGTCAACCAATGCGGTATGGGAAATGAAGCAGTAACGGGTGACTGCCAAATGCATTATTGAAAAATTTTATGTGAAATAATATTAACAATAATTCATAAATGTATAATATAGAAAAAAATACATAAATAAACAATATAATATATATAATACATTAGGATATATAAATACATATAAAATATTTACATACGTAGGAAATAATGACTACAGAATTACAAATAAGAACATCGTGCTAGAAAGTGCTCTTTGAGTTTAGTTTTGAAAGATATGAATTATGACTTTATTTCGGTAGGTACAACTTTATATTAAAATTTCAGCTGGTTGGAAATATTATGTCTGCGATGTCACCAGACAGATCCCACACCATCATGGCAGCCGTCATGGTGGAAAAAATTATGTCCATACCCTTATTTTTCTACTTACCGGCAAACAGCTCAACAAATGTCTATTATATTATTTTGTAAGTATAATTACATGACATTATCTATTAATAAAAAAAAACACAGGTATATCCAACTTTTATCTGTTGTTTTAAACTTATGTCATTGACATAATAATAATTGTTAATTAGAGGAATGCTATTGTACCTTATACTTATCGATTTCTCGATAATCCATCTTTGATGTTTAATTCTTCATTTTCATAAGTCTTTTCTTGCATTTTCTTTCCGGAAACTAGATTTACGATAAATACTTTCTAAAAAATAATTTTCTCCAACCAGGTTTACTCATATGGGGTTTCTTATACGTTGAAATTGGTGAAGCCGTCAGCATCAAAGGAGAATTAATTAGTATGATCATATTGGTAATGGCTGCTTATTTAGTCGGTTGGATATGGCTGAAACTGACTACTTTACCTGCTCTGATAGGCATGCTGCTAACAGGAATTATATTTCAAAACTTACAATTGGTGCACATGACAGATAATTACAGAAAACTGAATCAGGATTTGAGGTAACATAGATTCATATGTCACAGAATTCACAATTCAACATATCATATAAATCCGAAATTTAATAACAGTTCTCTTTCAAATATGATTCAGGTAAATAGCTATGAAATGTATTAAAGCATGCATAAGTTATTTCAAGCATTACAGTAATACATATATTTATATTTATTTTCAGAAAAGTGTCACTAGTTATTATATTAACTCGTGCTGGACTAGGTCTTCGAGCAAGCGTCCTAAAGAAACACTATGCTGCAGTATTACAATTAGGCCTTCTTCCATGGATCGTAGAATGTCTAGCTATCGCTGTTACAACACACTATTTATTAAAATTGCCATGGATATGGGGTAATAAGTATGACAACACTCAATATGTGGAAATAAACACATTTTTGTACTATCTACTGATTGTAACAATTTGTTTGCTTCAGGATTTTTATTAGGTTCCATGATAGCTTCAGTTTCTCCTGCAGTGGTAGTACCATGTTTGTTTAGACTAAGAGACGTTGGCTACGGCGTATCCAAGGGTATACCCACCTTGGTTTTAGCCGCCACAGCCATCGACGATTCCATCAGCGTCGCTGTATTTGCAATTTTATTGAACATTATGTTTTCATCTGAATCATCAACTTTTAATATCATCAAGGTAAAATCATTTATGAAAATTCCCAATAATATTTCTTATATCCTCCCCTCTAAATTTTACTATTCAAATCTTCACATTCTCCCGAATATAATATACGCGTACATCCTTCTTTATTCACATTCCATAATCTTTGTTCATTGTTATCTATTTCAGGGACCGTTGTCCATAATAGCCGGCATCGTCTTTGGATCTTTGTGGGGTGCTTTGTCTTCAGTAATACCAGAGAAAGGAGATACGTATGTCGTGCCTTTAAGGTTTCTAATGTTATTTTTAGGTGGTCTTTTTTCGTTATTTATGTCTGGATTTATTGAATGGAGTGGTGCAGGTATCGTATAAATCACAGCTGTATTTGAGCAAAAATATTTCACAAAATCTTATATATTTGTTATTTCTAAATTTTTTTCAGGACCACTAGCCATTGTATCGTCAGGTTTTGTGGCCGCATACTATTGGGAGAAGCAAGGTTGGCCTATAAACAAACATCCGGTTAGCAATGTATACAGAATCTTATGGATTTTCTTTGAGCCTATTCTATTTGCTTTCACCGGTGCTCAAATAACGGTAAGCCAGTTGAACCATTTATACTTAGATAAGGATTTTATCAGCACTGTATTTTTCATAGAAACGTTTTAAAGAAACAAGAATCATCGGAAGATATTTGTCACCTACAGTAATAAATATTAGACAAAAAAAAAATGAATCAATTTAGACAAATAAGTACCTAAATTGAATGTCATTGGTTCGTTTAATTACTGCAGGAAAAAATCCATATTACACATTTCGAATAAATAAATAATATTGAAATTAAGCTTTCAAATTATGTATCTATTTCCGTCTTAAGTTTATGAATTGCGGAAAGATTTGTAAAACAATAATTTTTAATAAGTTTAAACGCTTGTAGTTTTTACCTTCATGCTTATATATTTCTTACTTCTTTTCACCTTCAATATCTTTTGCTTTGATGTCTCTGTTAAAGTAGGCATTTGTCAGCTTAAATTAATTATAGCATCTATAACCAACATCTAAAGACACTTATAGACTTCAGTTAGCGAGGAAATATCAGTAAAATTTGTAAAAAGACTTAAAACGATTATTTCCGCAACAGATGAGCGCTCTGGATCCTCAAGTGATACAAATGGGCGCTATATGTCTAGTCGCCTGCCTTGTTTTGCGTGTCATAGTTACATTTTTTGTTAGTTTCGGATGTGGATTGAATAACAAAGAAAAGTTATTTATTGGACTAACATGGATGGCTAAAGCGACTGTTCAAGTATGTAATTTTTTTTTTAAATTTCTTCCCACCCTGACTCACATTTAACATTACTTGCTTCATATTTAACATCTCAATCATGCTCCTATTAGAGGGGAATTAGACGACTAATTATTGAGAAAATTATCTTACTTCAAGGGACATAACCATGAATTTGGAGAGGTCAAACTCATAGGGTAATTATATTTAATATAACTATCATATTTGTCGCTCAAGATCAAGTCTATACCCATGAAATTTCTTGTGTTTGGTAACACCCATAAAAAAATTTGGACTTGGTAACATTACGGAACAATCTAGGTAACGAGTATATAATTTATTTTTTGGAACACTAATAGTTATGTATATCGTTAATCACAGGCAGCTCTTGGCCCTGCAGCATTAGACCTGGTACACAATGGACGAACAGCTGGATCTCCATTGGTAGATGAAGAATATTACGCAAAGACTTTATTAGCGGTCAGCGTACTGAGTGTTGTTATCTCGGCACCCCTTGGCGCACTTCTCATAGCTATCACTGGGCCGAGACTTCTCAACAAAGATAACTGTAAGCTTTGAAAACATACCATCACCAATAATGCCCAAAAAAAAATCAAAACATAATGGGGCTCACTTAGAGGCAGAGTTGCAGGCTTGGGCGCCCTAGGCCAAGTTTATAAACGAGCAGCCCCTTTTTAGCTCTCATAATTTTCTTGACACATATATTTCAATTTACGTCGTGATGAAATAATATAATTTCTTTTTAAATTTACATATTCAGTAACATCGTCATGATTGCTAAAAACGGGATTGTTACGCACCATGATTACTAATTATTATTTTAAAATTTTAATGCTACTTCTGGAAGTTAGAAAAAATATATAAAACCGTTTCATTTTCAGCTCCCATTAAAAATAAAGAAGAAACAGACGGCGAAGATGCATCTATGGGTATAATGACACAATTATAATACCAAAATATTTATATTAATGAATAATAAATTATGTAAGACTTAAGCTACCTGTATCATTAGTTTTGCACCCCATCTATACGAGTCAACGCTTGCTGTGAGTGATTATTTTTTCCATTTCTGGCGCGCCCAGACTCAGCGAATTAAAAGGAGATTCGGCGTTCGTTCCTTTCACATGTTCAATAGCCCTGCTGGATGTTTGGAACCGACGTCAGTATTAACGACTGGCAACTTGGATGTGTTCTGTCATTTGACAAAAAAAAAACCCGCCACGTATTTGTTGTTAGAGCGGCAACAGATATACATCGTCATAAATGAAAAGTTCATGAAATACAGCCTGATGACAGACGGATCATTAGTTTTTGTGAAAAATAAGGCAACTCCTGAACATTATGAACCAACGTATTTTATTATGGATGACCAGACGACGATAACCAAATAATGATTATAGCTAATTTCATATATCAAAATTAAAATAAAAGAAAAATGGAAGTGGGCGGAGGATCATATATTTTAGAAGAGATGTGTATAGTGTGATTACAGATTTACTAGTAGAAAAAAAATGGTTAATTAACAACTTTTTAACAACAACCAGTTACCAGACAAGACAATCAACAGCTGGGATTAAAAATGTATACAACAGCGTATCTCCGACCGATCAACACAATTCACAAGACTCAAATCACAAGAAGTCAGAATTATAAAGCGAATAAAAAAAGATCAAAAATACATAAGCCAACGAAAAGTTAATCGCTAGGTTGTTCGCCAAAATATGCTATCTCTAATATTATATTAACAGACTAAAAAAATATTATATATTAACGAGATTTGCGTAGCTCCCTCCACCAAAATCCATTTGCTAACGTTGGTTGTCCTATGTTCGGTGAATCTCTACGCAACATTAAACTGTTTAAAAAAAATACTTTACTCTTTGATGCGTGTCTATGTTTTGACAGATTTGTTTGTATCATGTTTTTGTTTATTTCCCTTTTTGGGTCAAAGATTTGATAATTTTTTCAATCAAAAAAATTGAGTTACAATAAAAATTACATTTTTTCATTTCATTAATATGTCTGTTATTGTAATTGCTATAGCTTCTGAAAGCGGAGTACCTATATTTTCGAGAAAACGGGGAATCAATGAAAATGTAAGGTAATTTGGTATACCACTCGCTTTACTTGAGCTTTCAATTAAATATTGCTTTAAAATTAAATGGTTTCATCAATACAGATCCAATTTTCTACTATTGCATCTCTACATGGAATCAATATGTTCAGCAAATGCCATAACTTAGCAATGGTTAGCACTCAAGTAGATAATGGGAAAATTCTTTGGAAAGAATACTGCAAGAGGTACCCATTGAAATATCAGTACCTAATAATATTCCTACTTAAATAATAAATTCTATATTAATAATATACTCTTAAATATTTTTAGTGTCACATTAATCGGTGTTGCTACAGGAGGTTTGGAATGTGATTTAGAGATGCTGTTGGCTTGTGTACATGATGTAATGGTATTATGTATTGGCAAGAAGGACTTGGAGAATCTCAAAAATATTGATCAAGTGAAAAAAGAATTAAGGCAATGCTATTCAATCTTAGATTACTTATTGGAATCATTAGATCCAAATACAGCATCAAATTCATTAGTGTTGGACCTTATGCCGAGTATTCTATGTCCCCAAGCTCAACAATTGCAGGTCTATATCATAATTATACAATATCAACCTGCTCAAAATACCGCTTCAGTAGGGAATAGTTTTTTTGTCTGTTAAATAAATTATTGAAATCCATATGTATAAAAATTTACAGACCTATGTAGATTTTCTACATAGTTCTGATATAGTCCTCAATGTAGGTAATTTCTTGTCAATAACTAGAAGTAAAAAATATATGTAATATTTTTCTATTAACTGGCTGATAGGCTTAAAACAATTTCTTGATAAGTATTTTTGTGACAATAACGTTGTCTCTAATTATGAATTACTATTTTATACCAAAACCCCTTCTAAAATAATGACTTAGATTTGTTTGATTTATATTAACAGAATAGTTATAATTCTAAATGTGTTTGTAATATTATTTTAGCAAGCTCTTGATCATTATGAAGAAAGTGTAACTGGTCGCTGGGCATGTCTCAGTATCTATGGTCACTTAGTAGCAACAAGTTCAGATTTCCAAGAACTAGACCCCCGGGAAGCTCGGTTATTACTACTATTAACTGCAGCTCAAGATGGTGCACCACTCAGAGACACACCTGTATATTTGCCACAAACAAGTCCTAATGTAAGTTTAATATTTCTTATATTTCATATACTTGCAATATTTTTATAAAAGTTTTGTAAGCAAACAATAATTGACATTTAAGGAGATTGCAAATCTATCAGATTGGAAATCTTCAAAGGAGGCTGAAGTTAGGCATTTAAGAATTCTTTGTTTACAAACATGAACTATCCTACATGAGTATGCACCAAATTGTCAGATTTTTTTATTAATTATTATTTTATAATTTATTATTTTTTTTTTTTTTTTTATATTACTTATCATTAATTTGCAAAGTCTAAAGAAAATTTGTTTCAACTGCCTCCTTTAACTTGATAGACATGCGATGAAATTTAAAATGCCATGCTGGATTTTTTGAAACAAAAATGACATGACTCAAAACCATACCAAAAGTGCATAAATATTAATGCTTAAAACTTTATTTTTCAAGTCTGGTCTTAAAATATCTTTAAATTTTGTGGGGAAAAAAGGTTATGTAAAATGTGGATAAGATAATTAACACTATGAAATATACTAATATCCACCGTGGTGGACCCGCATGGTGAATCCCAAAGATAAATCTACCAAAACTATCTTTCTCTCAGGTAGCATTTAGAGCAGTCACTTGTAAATTATTAGCAGATGTATACATACTGGTGATTTGTGGAGCCACACCAGCTCTATCACAGATTGATGAAATCGTACTACAGTGCTGGGAAGGATACGCTCAAATAATCAAGGAAGCAAAGTTAATTTACCCAAGAAATTTCCCTATCAGTATTTCCTTTGAACCTACTATATTAGGGTAAGTTCTCATTTAATGTTAAATACATTACCACAAGTACCACATAACAAATCAATCATATGTAATAAAATTTTAAAATAAAGTTGGTATACCCTCACTATTATAGAATTGAAACACACATTAAACAATAATCTTATATTAAACTAATACATACATAACACTCAAATTTTTAAAAACTTATTTTGTATCTAGTGCCTAACATATGAGGAGCTCCATGGCGCATCTGTTAACGCATTCAATTGGTGAAAGTGGTAATTCCAAAAATTAATAATCTCGAAATCCTCTGTGCTTGTAATCGACCAGTCTGCGACATATACGTTCATGCGTACATTATATTTTAAGATCAAATCAATGCTATTAAGTTCTTTTAAGTATCAAGCACTTATATAATCAAAAACTTTTTAAAGTATTTTAGCAATCAACATAACAAAACGGAGATGTGTGTACTCGCGTCACGTCAATGTTACAAATCAAAAGAATCGGAGTATGTCAGGAGCGCATCGGACCGACATACTCCGTACATTCTACGTCACAACTGCGAGGCATTTGGCGCCTGAATTAAAAAATAAAGAGAACGACGACTACAAAGGTATTCTTCTAATAAAACTAGATAGCGCAATCCACGAAGACTTGCCCCCACTCTTTTTCCAAATCGTTTATAATATAATTGTGAAAGATTCTGTTAATGTTCGAGTTTAATCGGTACATATTAATCACTAGAGATGCGCCGAATTGTAGTTTCACCGAATACTATTCGGTTTGACGTTTACCGAACTGGATATTAAATAAAACGAAAACAAACTCGATGAAACCGTTTAAAAGTTGTTTCATTTATTATATTTGTGCAATAGTGCACGTGACAATATACGAAATCTAATTTTATTAGCTTTATTTAATACATTCTTCAATGTAACTTAAGGTGCCTTCCGATGCACGGAGTTTGAGATTATAATTTTTGGTCAAACTAGTGTGTTATAGGGGAAAAGCAGCCTTTACAAAGTTTAACACTATTTATATTTTAAATTGGGGAGTGCTTTTTTAGTAGACAACGCGCCATCCACGAAGTCGCGCCCCATTCTTCTTCCAAATCGTTTATACTTTGCGTGATAAGACTATCTTAATAGTCTACTTATTGTGCGTGTGCACTCATAGGTAATTAATAGAGATTCGCCGAATATTCGGCATCTTTTTAATTATTTGTATTCTGCCGAATGATTTAGTTTTGTCGATAGTCCTGGCTACACCTGCTGTCGTTAATACCCAACAATCCGCACTGGGCCCGCGTGTGGGATCATAATCCAATCTCCCTGTTCGATTCGATTCAATTCCAATCATAAAGAAGACTTGAGCACCAACAGTAGGGACATTACAGAAGGCTGGTGATAATTTTTTTTTTTATTGGGGAGTTTGGATCAGCCATCTTCATGCTGCACAAACGTCAGTCTGCTAAATAACAAGTGGAACCCCACCAAAGTGCCCCACTTTTGTTCAGGCACTTTGGTGCAACGAATATGAACTTTTACGCATAACCACGTCTTCACTAATTTTAAGTATTATTAATTAAACAAAATTTTTCAGATGACTGGGCTGATGGCATGTGTGACACATACTGGAGTTCCGAATACCACAAATGCCACGCTCAGAGATCAGGCAATCTTATGTGCTGTGTGCTATACGCTTCTACAGTACCCATTCATACAATGAGGTAATAAAAACATCATGCAATATAAATATGGAGAAAAGGAGACTGATCTCATTCTTTTTGGAATTTTAATACATTCAAAAAGTCTCAAAGTAAGAAAAGAACTTGAGCTTCAGCTTGAGCACAAATATCTTACTGGCGTAATATTATTTAAGACAAAAATATAAACAGCATCAACCACTTTACACTGCCGCCTACTGCAGATATGTCCCGAAGAGTAATGGGATAATGGTCCGGGCATTTATGGCCAAATTGGTTTTTTCCCGATAAGCGCCAATAAATTCCCGCCTAATTAAAAACAAAAGATTGACAAAATAATCTAAGATATAAACTCAGTTGTGGTTTGTTGTTAAAATTAATAAATATACATAATAAAAGTAGATACATATAACGATACAAATAAATTCAATGACTTATATAACGTTGCCGAACATAAACTAATAAAATATTGAAGTTTGATCTATGATGAATTATTTGTGGACAAAACACTCACTAAATTGATTAACGAAAATTCAGTCGCTTGATGGGATGAAATAAGGGTTGAAAGAAAGGTATTTTTTGTGTAGTCGTGAAACTTGTTTGTTCCATCGTTTGGACAATTCTACTTCTAAGGGTGAAATAGAGGTTGGAAATGAGGAAGTATTTTAATAAAAAAAGAAAGCACTAAAAAAACATCTCACTAGGTGGCGATTCTATCAAAAGTTGAGTTTTGCAGGAACCGAATGGACCAAAGATAGTCTTACTTAAAAAACTGAAATTTGCATAGTTCATAACTTAGATAATAATTGTTTATTGAGTTTTGATAATTAACTTACGATTATACATGAAAGAAATTCAGAAGGGTTGTCATGGAGAAATCAAGAAAGTATCGTAGCGACATCTAGTTTGATTTCAGGAACTAATTTTTATTAAAAACTTCCTCATTCGTTATTGATTGCATTTCCTAAAATCCGCCCTTACAATATTGTGTATCTACTCCACAAAATAATTCTACTGAAAAAAGATCATGGATCCAACTTCAAAAAAGTTCTTCAACGTTCGACGATGATGAATGAGATAATGAATCAGGACAAGTTCTTTTATAACTTATTCAGGTTTTCTAAGCAAAATCCGACTTTATGTATACCAATTTGTCCCTATTTCAGCATAGAGTAATAAATGAGTAATTTAATTTGAAAATCCAAGAGAGTGATTCTTCTGTACTGTCGGGCAAGATCTAAAACTTTACTGATCCCAACTTATTACTTTCTTTTATTTTAGGCTAATAACAACTCAAATACTTCAGGATCTGAACACAAACAAAGAAGTCTATTGGTGAATGAAAATCATGTATGGCATTCACAAAAATCATTTCAATAAATCCGTCCATGTAAAAAAGTACATAATAATTAATTATAAGTAAGGTTGAATACACTTTGAGCCAATAAGTGGAAGAAATATTGGTATATGAAAGAAATTATGAAGTCTCAGGACTTGAGTCAAAAATTAGGATGATTAGAAAGTGGTAATTGAACGATATAAAATCATCCAGGGTGAACCTCTGCAAAGGAAAATAGCACAAGACAATCTACAGTGAGAATAAAGACTGTATTACTATTCTATGTAAGGTGTAATAAAACGTGCTGATATTTTCTATATTTGTTATTTATCTTTTAAATGTTGTTTTCAAATATTAACCATGTTTAAGTCACCAAAAAGGCCAGCATCACCATCACCCGTTGATTAAAGATGAACCAAAAACGTCGCCAATAAACTATATCTAACTGGCATATGACTTTCTCGAAAAAAATTCTTGGCGTAACTCGACTTAAGTGCGACTTGAGACTCATTAACATCTGCTAGATGTCAACATTTCTACATTCGAGATTCAAATTCTACACCATGTAGACGACATTTTGTATACTTTTTATTTTTTGAAATATACATGAAATATATCTAAAAAAAATTATAAAACTGTATCATTCATATAGTAAGTTAAATCTGAAAACAAAAATTTCATCATAAATAAAACAACTTTTGAGCGGTTTCATCGCGTTTGTATTTTAGTTTTATTAACTTTTCGAACCTTTCACATGTTACGTGTTCACATAAGGTTAAGGTTCTTATTTCGAAACGTCGATAAAACTAAATACAAACACGATGTAACCCTTTAAAGGTTGTTTAATTTATGGATAGTACGCGTGAAAATATAAGAAATTTCATTTTTAATATTTCCCGCTATACGATAACGCCTTCTTGTCATGGCGTCGCTTTAACGTCACGCCCATCTAAAACTAGTATCGATCTATAATGCATATTGTATAATATATTTATTTTATAATATAATCAATTTAAGCAATATTATAAATATACTAAGCACAAAAGTATGATTATCGGTAATAACATATTAAACACTACCAGATAAAAAAGAATCTATATTTATTTTCGTTTACTGTATACACCCATATTGTCTAAATAAAATAAATACTTTTATGATAATACTATCATTTTAACGTCTCTCAAAGTAAGCTCCGCGGAATCTAAAGGCAAAGGCATCTTTTTTATTCCACGTAAATATTAGGTTCGGCGCATATTTGACGAAAGATGCGTCGCGTAACTGTCGGTAGCAGAACGTCAGAACAGATACACATGAAATGACATTCAGATTGCATACTCGTCGTAAGATCTATGAATGAATGAATAAATTCTTTATTGTACACCATAAATTATAGAGAAATTATAATTGATACAGTTAAGTTGTACAATCGGCGGCCTTATCGCTAAAGAGCAATTTCTGCCAGGCAACCGTATCGCCGTATTCTGATCCCGGGTTCTTTATGTACCACACCGATTACAAAAACCTACTACCTATTATAAACTGGAGAATGTACTGATTTCGACAAACTTTAGTGAATTAAATAAGCTAATATTTTTTACACACTAATAATACTATCACTGTTATTAAAATACTAATTGATGAGTTACTGTTTTCATTCCTTGGGAATAACTGAAAGACATGTCATCTTCCGCGATGTTTGCTGTGTGTAGCAATTCTATTCTTCATGGTAACTATTTTTTGATAAGTGTAAATAGAGTGGTCCAGACCCTAAAAGATATGTGTAATCTGTGGAGTGAAGCCGACGGGCTCTTTGCTTGATCCCGGATCCTTGCCCCCACCACCGAAGGTGTACCGCAGCGAATTTTACCAGCACGCGTAGCATGGCGAACTCGAGAACGTTTTGTCTACACTCAAATGTCACTTTTCTCGACCCAAGCAACTGACAAATGAGTGTAAACAAAGCGTTTCTCGAGTTTGTCATGCTACGCGTGCAGGTAGTCCAAAAACGAATCATTGAGAACCCTAGTTTGAGGCTTAAGTTCGTTTCCCCTTCATTATAAAAAAAAAACATATATGTATAATTGCTAATAAATCGTAGGTAAAGCTATGAAAACTATTTGCACACAAATAAAGTTCAATATATAATAAAGCACAAATATTTGAAGTTTCTCCACTTATCGCTATGAAGTATCATCTTTATATGCGATCTTAGTTGATCAACTTCTGTATGTCGCGTAACAGGGGCATCCGTTGAGTATTAAAGATGACTTTAAGCTCTAATGAATCTTCTAAACTTGAAAATTGGTACTGGTGATGTTGCTTGAAACTAATAAAATTAGATAAAGCTCATGATCTCGCACAATAATAAAAACAAACTTGGGTTGAATAATATTTTTAAAGAAGATTTCTATAAAAAGAATAGTTACAGACAGATTTCATGAAATAGAAAACAATACAATCATACGACAGTTTCACAGTAACTACATATTTTGAATAAAGCTTAAACAATGAAAAAAATTTGTTGTAAACAAATTTGTTTTTTTAATTATTGATACACACTATAACGCATAATTAAAATCACACTAAGAACAGCGCGATTGCATTTCACAAAAATAATTAGCTTTAAAATAAATACTGGGCTCTATTTTGCATGCACTGGAACCTTATCAACTTTAATGTAAGACAAATTACATGTTTAATCAATAACATTTTCTATTCATTGATACTGTAAATACATAATATGTTGATTTGTTTATATATCAATATCTGTATTAGGTATGTCGCAGATGCGGATATTGAAGTAGAAGCGGTCTACGATAATATCGAGGAGCTCGATGGTGCAGTGGTTAAAGCACCTGCGGATGTGTGACCAAAAATTTACTATCTCTAGCATCTCCGTGCTTCATGCACGTTCAACCGTTGGTCTCGGCTATACATATGCAGTCGTTAACACCCACCGATTCGCACTGGGTCCGCGTGATAAGTTATGGCATATTCTCCCCATTCTATTCCATCCATAGGGAAGGTCTGAGCTACAGCTAATTACAATATAAAAAATCCACACCCGCAACATCTATAATCTGTATCTATTTAAAAAAAAATCATGCAGGTTAAAATAGAAAAATAATATGTATACTGATATGACAAGAATGATTAGACGGGTATTCAATTATATTTAAAAAAAATGTATCAATAAATACATTGCTTTCAAATTGACAGACAATAATCCATATTTAACACTATTATTTCAATCACACTTCATACACATTTTTTGTACATGTCAGCTCTGGTTGACCAGTACAGGAAAATTATTGTATTTGGTAAAAATATGTTCCTGTTAGACCAGATGCCTGAGAAATTATACTCGCATTTTTCTATACTAATATAACAGAGGTAAGTATTGATTGTCTTTGCATAGAATAGGCTCCGAAACTACTGAAACTTAAAATTCTTTCGCCTACAGAGCTACATCATACGCTAAGTCCTAATATAACTGAAGTAAAAATGTTCCAATAAATTATTACTCAGTTACAATGTAATATTTATTCTGGTCTTATACAACACACGCTCAAAAACTACACCATTAGTTATTGCTATAACACACAAACTGAATCACTTCATTAATAACCTAAACGCCTATATTGCGAAGACGCCATAATTAAAAAAAAAAACAAGGCAATTATAAAAATTGGACAAATATACATTTTGTCATAGCCTAAGGAGCTGCCTCAAAACACATTCAAGACAATATCACTTGCTCAAAATAAATTCATTGATGAATATTAATATAGTCACAATATAATTAAATTGTAAAATTTACAGGCTCCTTAACATTATTCTTCTTGTGATCACAATTACAGTTTTACAGCCTTACTTATAAAAATTCATTATACTATGGTTATTCAATCGTTATACCAAGAATAGTTATACTCGGTATATGCTCATAATAACGGAAGAATATCTTTTGACTTATAAACTTGGTATATCATCGGCGTAAGTATTCCACCCTTATGTTCGATGCACGTGGCGGCAACGCCGCATTTCATAGACAAAATCGAAAGAACGAAAGTATTTTGTCCGTGATTCGGTTGAAGTGACAAATGTTACTGAGTTTGACGTTTGGTTGATTGGCGTTACATGTGGTTATTCCTCGAACAATACGCGGGTGATTTTGTGGAAGTTATTGTAAATTATTAAGTTAAATATAAACTAATATCATAATGGCAAGTAAAAGTAGTATCTCAACGCTATCAGTATCTGCAATATACCTCACTGCCAAATAAACGTTCTAAAAATAAGACGACGTCTTTGGAAAAACGATATTTTATACGAAATTCGTCGTCATTGTACAAAAAGAAGTGATCGTTTCTAGTTCAAAATATTTTAGATTTTCTTCTCGTCCTAAACATTTGCGATCGATTGATCAAATTATTAATTTCTTCCACTTCTTGTATTGTCTAAATGCCATATTTCAATAAACACATGTTTCAATATTATTAAAAATTATCTAATACGGTAAATATTTGGTAAATATCAATAAAGCATCAACAATATCAAAATGTCATTTGACAAATGCGTTGCTACACCAGAGTTATACTAGGGTGACGGGCGGAATATCGGTGGAATAAGTTTTGTTAGAACGTTACATCCAGGTTATGCTAAGCATAAGTTACACCGAGTTTATAAGTTGACATTTTGCGTATTCTGCACTAATTCTCGGTATAACATTTTATACCACGTTTATAAGTAGCGCTGTTACAGTACAATGACAAAGTTTTTCAAAAACTTTACAAATTGTAGCGTGTTAAATCTAAGCAGTACTTATTGAAGAGCAACTTTATACTGCAGTAGCAAACATTAAAAGGCCACATATTCATAATATTCAATATCAAGTCCAACACGCAATCATGCCAACTACTTAAAGCTACTCAATAATCTGCACTGTGGTTGTTTTATTTTACACTTTAGCTGTTGTATCAAGTCGAATATCTTTAAAGACGGACCCACTTTCATTTCTAACAGTTCTATGATTTCGTCTTTAGACAATTGTAGCATCATTGGACCAGTTATTTGATTGAAGTTGACGCAGTAAGGCTGACAGTCGTTGACTGTGAGGAACTTTGCTACGTCTGCTGTGGTCCAATTTTCTGGTTCCACATTATTGAGAACGTCTAAGGGCACTGATGTATTGACTAGTCTAGGTATCACTTTATCGTTAACGCTCACCTCGGGGGTTTCGGGAGGAGATGGCGTAATATTTTGATTGGAATCTTGAGATGTATCTATGGGTGTAGTCTGCAAAAATTTAAAAACGAAATTTTTAACTATCACAGCACTATATGACATATTTGTTGTGTATTGTTATTTTTATTGAAAAAGTGAATGTGCTTGGAATAACTAAAAAGCAATTAATTTAATTTATAAAAATCATTGAAATAGTCGTGTGAAGATACGCCAAATGTGTAAAAGGCACGAAACGCACCAAAGGAGACGAATTAAAGGAATCATATCAATAAATATTTGTATAAAATATGTAAATATATCACATTCATTGTTTAGATCTCAGATGAAGTAGCTAGAGCACTATTATAGAAAACTGAAACAACAAAGGTAACACAGCATCCACACCGAAACAGAGAATTTCATGTTCTAGATTGAACCAACCAGGAATCGAACCCGGAACTTAGAGATGGCGACACTTTGAGCACGGGGTACCAATCGTCACGGAGATCGTCTTAGTATGGAAACATGACGAACCTATGAAATTAATGTGAACAGAATCGGAAAAATTCTAATGTCGATTGTATTTTATACGGGAGGTCTAAAGAAAAATAGTTTCTTTGGCTACAGAATTATCCATTATCAACCTTATATTAATTTACTATAGTATGTTATATGCTCTTAATGCTTTTATAGAATAAAAAATATTGATAACTACTACAACTTTACACAGTCAATCTAGATCGTGATCAGATCAAACTCGCCGATTGATATAAAGAAATCAAATCATATGGATAATATGTGATCCATTTCAATCTGGCATCGATCAACATATTACACAATAAATCTAACATTAATTTGATAATTATCACGAATTTATTTAAAACTAAATTGGTTGTACAATGGCCCCGTTATTTTATTTACTAGCTTTCCGCCAGCGGCTTCGTGGTCTTGTATTATACATAATAACCTTCTTTTTAAACCACCCTATCAATGAAAAATAACCGCATCAAAATCCGTTGCGTAGTTTTAAAGATTTAATCATACATAAGGTTATAAGGACAGAGAAAGCGACTTTGTTTTATACTATGTAGTGAAGCTCACATCTGAAAATTAAAAATGGGTAAGTAAACTTACCGTAAAATCGGGAGCGACATCGGCTAGCTCTTCCGCTGGTTCGTGGCTAATCTTAGAATCGGTATCTACGTCCATCTTGGCGGACGTCTCTTCTTTATCCGTCCTCTCTGTGTCAGCAGATACCTCAGAAACACTAGTTGGCGGCGATAAACTTTTTGTGTCAGCCAAGTCTGAATTTTGCGAACTCTCTTCTGTTGTGTTTGGCGGTTGAGTTGTAGGTTTAGCAACTGAAGTAATGTATTTAACAGATTAATTAATTAGTTAAATATTCTTTATTGTACACTACAACAATGAACGAACATATAAAAGTAATCGCAGACGTCATCGAAAATAAAAAAAGCCGGTAAATATTGGCAGAATTTGTGAAAATGTTATCGGAACAAGGCCTTAAAAAGAATTTTATTTAAATTTAATTTTGTTATACAGTTGACAGCACATCGAGTTACACAAAGTAACGAGAAAAGTAATTATTACTCGGAGTGTGGATTAGGCTAAAGACGGGATTTTGATCTAAATCCATAGGATGATAAAAATACATTGAAGGAAATTAAAATTTTGAGATATGAATTGAACTAAACTTGTTATATGATTTACTACTGTAGGTCAAGTGATAGGTTAGAAATTTAAGGGAGGTTATTTTTTTCAGACCATAGAATAACATAACGCTATTTATTATACAAGCTATTTCAACAAATGATTCGATTTCTTTTTTTGGATACTACATTAATGATAAAGCAAACGTGGATTGCCATATCATTAAACAATATGATAAAAGTTGGATGGCCATTTTTTAAATATAACCATTTCATGAAATGGTCGGCCCCAACATGAACTGATCAATTGTGGTCTGGCCACGACATACATATATTGACCTTATGCCGTTAATACACCGACGCAAGCGCATGCGAAGGCGAAACATAATTTTCAACAAATGCTTATTTGAAACTATATCAGTTTGCCTAAAGAACTTTATATAATTAATTTGGAATGTCTTGTGAAGTGGATCAAATTGGTGACTGTCGAGACACAGCTACTTTGCCAAGAGCTCTTTTTACAGGCGATAAAGAAGGCATGTATTTCAATAGTTTTCTATTAAAATGAAGTAATTACGAATCAAAGTAACAGGTCTTTTAATTTTACATCAGTTTCAGATTCTAATTGCTTATCTCAATGCTCAGTTTCTTTATCTCCGTGCAGTAATTTGCTAGCTGTTGGCTTTAAGACACTTTGTTCGCTAACCAGTCAGTGGATAAGCGCTACCGACAGCTCCACATACTTGATTTCATGGGGTGATTTGCTTTGTCTCGCTCTATTGTTAGCTCGATGAAGTAGCTGCGTCCTTGTCAGTACGGTTTCGCAGTCACACACACCGTATACTGTATACACTTACCTTGTTGGTGCCGTCGCTTGCGTCTCGCGGGCTTGGCCGGCAATCGGCGCACGTGCCTCGGGGGCGGCTGCAGGGGCCCCTCCAGTCGATGTCCGACGGCGCGGCACCACCCCACAGGGTACATGTCCGTACTGTGGGCCCACAACCACTGGTCGTATTCCGCGCCCCACCCGTCGAAGTGCACCTGCATCAATATCAAACCATCACCGTTTGATTGAGTGAGTAGCTCGGTGACGTAGAGGATAAGCGCCGCGGCCCGCGATCGTAGTCGTTAAGCAACTTTCGCAAGGGTCAGTCACGGGATGGGTGAACAAAAAATTATTATCTCGGGCTACTCCGTGCTTCGGAAGGCACGTTAAACCGTTGGTCCCGGTTGTATTTGCAGTCGTTAATACCCTCCAATCCGCAATGGGCCAGCGTGGAGGGTCATGGCCCATCCTCCTTAACCATCCATAAGGAAGGCCTGAGCCCCTGCAGTGGGGACGTAAAAGGACTGGTGATGATGATGATGACCGTCTTATTATAAAACGAGGATAAGTTACTCGGTTAAATTAGAGTTTATTGTTATTACAGCAACTCGGTGGCCTAGTGGATAAGCGCCGCGGTCCGCGATCGCTGTTGTCAAGCAACTTTCGCACGGGATAGGTCACCAGAAAAAGAAATATTATGTAGAGCTACTGCGTGCTTCGGAAGGCACGTTAAGTCGTTAGTTCCGGATGCATTTGCAGTTAGTTGACGTAAAAGAGCTGATGATGGCTAAAGTTAGTCCTCGTTTTATAATAAGACGGTTAATGTCGACGGTACTGGGGCACAGCCATTCCCTATGTATGGTGTCAAATAAGGACAAAGGTTTATAACCTTCAGCACGGGCTTGGTGCTGATTGGATTGCGAACGATTGAAGATGCAGCCAGGGACCAAGCGATACATTTTTTTTTATTTGTTCAGAAATTCACTCCACAGCTTATTTATAAATACATACTATAATATTGTGATGCGATAGTAACTTAAGCCAATTACAGATTTACGCAACTTATAAAGATAGCTATCTTTTAAATTAATTATTAAAAAGAAATGCAAAAGATAATAAACATAAGAAACATACTTGCATAAAACACAGATTCACTCATCGAGTACTTCAATATATAATATTTGAAGTAATATCAAGCACACTGTAATTTATTATTTGTGTAATTTATAATACTTCCGTTGCATCATAAACTATCAAAAAATGCTTTTCTTTGAATTTCGTTTTCGGCGAAAAAGAACAGACCTACAGGTGTCATATTTCATACAAGCAGTAATCATAATACGAGAAATATAAAACTAAAAACTCACTTTCAATAAATCCGCGACTACCCTGGCTATGGTTGCGACACAAACCAATCTCGGATCCATAAGGTCGGCGCATTCCAAACGCATACCGGCAACGAAACCGTGAGAGACCACGTGGCCACGTGCCGCGAATAACGAACGGCTCGCAGCTCTACTGCCTGTCATTGATAGGTATTGCTCCCAACCGAACTCTTCAGGTGTGTACCTTCAAATAATGAAAAGATCTTTCATGAAAAACCTGTCAAATGCGTGTCGGACTCGCGCATGAAGGGTTCCGTACCATTATCCATTAAAAAAAGTATAAAAAAACATGTTTGTTGTTTTCAATGGAGTTGTTCGCAATTTTCCGAGTTAGATACAATTGGTCGACTGTTACTTGTAAAGCCAACTTAAGTATGATAGTTTTCCTTTTTACTTCGTTAATATATTTGAATTTTTACTTACGACCGTTTAGTTGGTAGAGGGGGCAAATTTGACTCTAAAGAAAATTAGCTTTTTACTAAACAGAGAAACTGCTTTCGCAAACTCCCAATCTTTTAAAAGGCATATTCAACGATGCCCCACACCACAGAGAAGACGAAGAAAATATCATCCCCACTTTACATTTAGATGATGTATTTTTCGAAAATTTACTTTACAATTTTGTCGGTATAATTAACGTGCATACTAATGGCAAATTACAACTTTCACGTGCCAATAATTTTTGATCTAAACCGCAGGCGGATGGACGGACATTTTGACCTTTTCTAGAAGTCATTTGGGCCATTTTTGACCTCCTGTAACTTTTCAGTGACCAAGAGGGCATCACATAACGAGTAATATTTCCAAATTTGAAAACTATATACATAACGGCATTAGACTAGTTCATAAAAGCATCTTAAAACACGACAGTTATAATTTGATGTAGGTTCATTTGGCTACAAAAATTAATTATTTGCGATAGTACAACTACTTAGATAACTCGTACGAATTAACATGACACCTTATCCGATCCGAATCATCCTTAGAATTTTTAAACTTATATCCATGACGATTATCCGTGCATCAGAATCATCATCCTATCTGTGTTGCATCACAAATTATATGCGATTACATCGAAAAATGCGAGTCTTTAGAGTCGTATTAGAATTTCGAAAATAGACGACTGGGTAAAAAAAATGCTAATAGAAAGATAATAGAAAAATATTAGATACGTATTTTTTTTACTTTAATTTAACAAGAAATAGCTTAGATAACATGCATTAAAGTTGAGGAGTGGAGGCTCGCTATGTCACAGTCTAGTAGAAAACGTACCATAGCGTGACGTTATGTGAAATTTCAACTCCATGTAACGCCGTAATTTTATGATTACGAAAAATATAAAAAAATCGTGTTTAATATTTTTAACACTCTACCTGACGGACAAACAAACAAAAATTAGTCGACAGCCCTATAGTAGTCTTCCTGTTAATTCGTACGATAATCATCTAAGCATGAGTGGAGCTCTTTTTCACATTGGTTGAAAAGAAAACTAAAAAATAAACAATGAACCATTAGAACAGACTCTACACTAAAACATTATTTATATCCTTATAATAATATGTATCAACTTACCCAGACGGTGGCACAAGGGGAATATTATTAGCCAGCGCAAAGCCCACTGGAAATATACACGGCGATCTCTGATGGTAACAGAACCAATCCGCACCAGTTGCATCCGCCGGATAACAATCTATTCTTATCATCATATATCCATCGTTCAATATTTGCATTACAGTTGCAGCGCAAACAGCAGACAAATTCAATGGATCTATAGCCTCTAACTTCATACCCTCAGCGAATAACGGAGGCTCATTAGTTGGATATTTGTAAAACATATCAGTACAGGTATCGCTTGCTATGTATCTGCCAGCAGCAACTCTCTGACAATAACTCTGTGGTGCATCTAGAGGGTGACCAACGCGAAACGCCCAACCGACTGGATGTATCAATGGGGAATCTTCATGACACCAAAATCCATTGTCTTCTGGAGAACTGTCGTAATACTTGACGTGTAATCTCTTGCCTACTATCTCACAGACATTGGCTACCTATAAAAATCAATTTGTGTTTACTATTGGTATGACGACTAATCCGTTGGTTATAGTTATAATATAAAAAATTTTTTTAAAGAAAAACAAAAAAAAACGAATTTTTTAAAATACATGAAAAAATTAACTTAATTAAAATCTAAAAAGAAAGAAACAAGCCCAGCCCAGTAGTTTAGAATTCTGTTATGTAATACTAAATAACGTCACAATTAAAATAATTTTATAATCGATACACACATAAAACAAATCATAAATTTTAATGCAGAACAGAACGACTTATAGTCAGGGCCCATTGAAAAGATTTGATTAGTAAAATTTAAATACATGACTTTACATGACTTTCGGTCATATGCTGAAAAGAGTTTCACGAATGTTTTTAAGTAATTTACCGATCATTAAAAAAAATGGTTTTGTTAATAGGGATGATGACTAATTTTTGTTTGTTTGTCTGTCAGGTAGAGTGTTAAAAAATATTAAAAACGTATTTTTTTATTTTTTTCGTAATCATAAAATTACGTCGTTACATTGAGTTGAAATTTCGCATGACGTCACGTTAGAGTACGTTTTCTACTCAACTGTGACGTAGCGAGCCCCCACTCCTCAAATTTAATGCCTGTTATCTAAGCTATTTCTTGTTAATTTGAAGTAAAAAAAAATACGTATCTAATATTTTTCTATTATCTGACTGACGGACTAAATAGAATTGCATTTTTTTACCCAGTCATCATCCCTATTGTCAAAATTAGAAAAGAATGACATTATGGTTTAAGTCCACAATTTGTAAATTTCTCTTGTACAGTCAACTGCACTTCAGACTATACAAAAATGTTAAAGTCCACTCGATTTTAAACCTTAAAATGGTCAAAATCCATTGCAGAAATTTGACGAATTGTGGTAACCTGACGTGCGTCCGTGTGTACATGATGTACATTATGTCTATGATAATAAATTATATGTCTGCCATGACTTCTTTTTTGATACTATATTCGTTATTTAAAAAAAATACTAACCTTTACTTGTGATATTCTATTTTTGTCAACAACTTCCATGATAGAACCAATAGAAAATCTTGAAACTTGACTATCATTTAGTTTACTGTAAAAATTGGCTGGCAGAGTACGAGCTCCTGTTAGTTGTTTGACCAGAAACCTAAAATTGTATGATACTCAAAATAATTTCATTTCATATAACTTATGGCTTAGAGCGCAATCAATTAGGACAACACTCCATGAAAAATAATGTTGTATTTTGCAAGTAAACCATAATTTGGCAGCAAATGGAAACAGAACGGAGCGTAACTATGGTAATGTACGAAACTAACTATTAAAGATGAGGTATCATTATTTTTATGTGTCAAGTAAAAACATTGTATCTATAAGCATGTTAATGAAAGGGGGGGGGGGGGGGGGGGGGGAGAGCATCCTCCTGCCTGTGAATTCACCTCTACTTACTTTTTCCAATCTGTATATTTATCTTCAATACTACGAGGAGGTATAAGAGGTTTGCCACGTGTAGCACACCAGCCTACAGGGTGCACCTCTGAACAACACAAATTCACCCAAAAATCTTTGGTATCATCACTACCAAAACCTTCATAACGCAGTAGTCCCATATAACCTTTGACCTTAAATATGAAATGTTTTTGATAAGTGACACCAACTGATTCATTATGACTAATAAATATTTTTGTTAAATATTTATAAGTTAAAATGTTTTATATTTATTAGGTGATTTTTCAAGCATATTTCGTTTAGATAAATGTTATTATTACGATTTTTTTTTTTCCAGATAAATCTAATTGTCTAATTTTTAAATCCATCGCAATCCATCAAGTTACAATCGCTTTTCGAATGAATCATGATTTCTAAAATTAAAAAACTTTATTGAACCTGCAAAAGATTGCAGTTCAATCAATTCCTACAATTGACATTTTTGAATTGCTTTGAAGCATGTAGCACTTTGCTTAGTCAAATCCAATTAACAATATTGTTCATTCAATCATTCAAAAAAAAAAAAACATTGCTCTCACATGCCAATAGTTGTAGAGTGAAGTTTCACTTGAAAGGGATTTCGAAAGTGAAACTGAAAGGGATTTCGAAAAATTTTAGAATTCGATAATTAGGCCCCTGACGTGCTATTTAATTTGAAAATAATATGAATCATATATTTATTAAATTACGATAATATGCTTACTTTTAATACAGTAGCTACCCAAAAGTAATCATTAAGTTTTTCAGAATTATTCTCACAGTCTGTGTTTTTAACTTCAACCTTCATGCCTTCAAATGTGCTATCCCACATTTCATGTAGAGGCGCATGCTTGAACAGACTTACAGGTGCAGCAAGGAAATCGCAACCAAATAGCTCATCTTTCCATTCATAACTATTGGCAACTAATGTGGCAGCATGTTTTAATGGTCCAGCCTAGAACATAAATTGTTGTGATACTTATTTCTTAATATGATATGTTTATAAGCTTACTATAAATATGAACCAATTGTTGGTATTAAGTAGACATGTGCCGACTAGTAGTTTCACCGAATAAGCGAATACCAAAGAATATTTGGTTTAAGCTTAACCAAACTGGATATTCAGCTGGATTATTTGGTTTATCATTTCATTGTTTTTATTTAGGCAGAGTGTGTCTCAGTAATCCTGATAGTTAAGTGTGTTTGTATAGTAAACAATTATTTTGGAAGCAAGCATAGATTGCTTGCATCCAAAATAATTGTATATACTCTACTCTCTTGCCGAAAAGGGCCAACCTCAATTTACAATTAATTAATTATTATAATTAGAATATGTAAGTTTCTTTTTGGTTATATTTTGTATTGTGTCTGATATCTATTATATTTTAATAGTTTCTTTGTGTCTTTATATATCTCTGTTATAGTGTCTATTTTTGTCAATTAGTCCCTTAAATTTTGAATTAACAAATGTAAGTTTAAAAATGTTGACTATAGTTAACAAATATAAAATAAATATTTATGATTTCATAGGATTTTATAGACTTTTAAATAAAATAAATCTTACAAAAATTTTTTTGCCTTTTAGTTCTAAAGCATGTTGTGTAGCCAAGAAAATATGAAGTACTCAAATCAAATATATTCAAAACCAGAACTGAATATTCAGATTTTAGCTTAATATAAATAGTGAAAAAGCAGCATTCATATACGAAACAAAGCTTTAACAGGAACAGTATTTTTTAAATAAGTGGATTTACTAAACATTGGGCATTTATTATTAGGCAGATATATATGGTATTTATATCTGCCAGTTTCATTATCAAATAATATGATACATACACATATAATTCACATTTATACTCAATCATATTTACTAATCAAATGAACTATGTATAACTATGTGAACTATGTATAACTATGTTATTATGTATAAATTTGTGTCAGCACCTTGCAAAAATACCATTACAAACAATTTCATGCTTCAGAAGGCATGTAAAGCCGTTGGTCCCAACTGCATTAGCAGTTGTTACCCTCCAATCCATATTGGGCCAGCATGGTGGGTAAAGGCCTATCCCCCTTAACCAACCATAAGGAAGGCTGTAACCCCTGCAATAAGTATGGAACAGGGCTGATGATGAGAGTAACATTTCAATCTCACCTGCAAATCATTCAATGCCACTTGCCAATGTTGTAGTTGTGGCAGTGGCTCCAGTGGTATCAGGCCAGCCATATGCTCAGTACTTTCCATAACCTTAAAACTCCAGTTACAATATCTACGCCTACTAGAACTAGCATGACATCGCAAAGTACAAAATTTATTGTTCTTCGAATAAAAATTATCACGACGTCCAACTCTTCCACATAACTCACATATCGCTGGAATAAATTTAAATAAATACTGAGAACTTGTGAGAGTATTATAATCAGCACTGGGTGAGGTAAATAAACATTAGACAACATCACATTCTTTGCTTCAATCCCAAATTGAGCAGCTTTGTAGTCTGAAAGCCTTTTGTTGTATGAAAACTTAAACCCAGAGACAATTTTATATGAGTATACCTAATTCTCCATCACCCATAATATACCCATTGGGTTGAACAAAGCTTAGATCGCCTACGTTTATGAGTTAAATTTACATAGATATCACCTATGAAAAGTATCAAGAAATGTTAATATACAAACATTTGATAAAACTGTTTTTTTTTATTACGTGATTATTATTAACATTATCAATACAAAGATCGGAGCAATAATTCGAGGATTCACTGTCCACAAATGTAAATTCACCAACACGCCGGCATAATGGTATGTTTATGAGCACTCACCAAAACTGTCTTTTTCAAGTGGAATTATAGACAAGTCTTCCACTATATGAGTTTCATTGCCTGTCTCATTAGTAGCACTACAGTTTAAATTAATGCCAGCTCCGTGAAAAGCCATATTTTGATGAATATGTGCGTAAATCAAACACTGTAACTGACACCGCAATACTCATGACTACAAAAAATATCTTATTCCGCTTTCAACTTAACACAATTATATCGCAGGAAAAGATAGATCTCTCCGTCGAAAAAAAAATTCAAGCTCTCAGCACATTCTCAACAGCTCTTCTTTTCCATTTCTTTACTTACACCAACTTCAGCTTTACACTATCATTTTCCATATTTTTCTCTCAAAGAGCAAATTAAATGTTTTCATGATGCGACTCGAGGCCCCGTTTTTAGTCGAGAGACCTATGCAGACCAAAGAGTAATGTAATATAAAAAGGCAGACCTATACACAGAACAATAATACTCTATGGCGCTTATTACACTACGTTAGCGTCCCGATATCGGGTGAACGTGGGCGCCCGATCGCCCGATGAGAGTTAGGGCCGATTTATCGGGTAATGTGATCGCTGTTAGGGTGTTAGAGCGCTCAGTCGGTTGTTGCCACGTTGTTGCGCAGCGTGCGTGTGAGACGTCAGTGAACGACAACGAAATTTGCGAACAGACAAAAATGTCTTCTCAAAAGGAAAATAAATAATATAAGAACATTATATATATATATATATATATATATATATATATATATATATCAATATGATATAATGTTTTAAACATTTCTAGATAGTCTTTGCATGTGTCTGGTACAATTATAAATTTTATATAAATTACAATAATAAAAACTAATGCTATAATAAACTTTATATTATTGTTGTGCCCGATAGGGTCCATAGTAAGACTAACTTAATTATGTAATATTATTTTAAATTACCTATGGAAACAATAAACTTATTGAGTATTTATACTTTAACAGCCTTACTTATAAAAATTCATTAAACTATGGTTATTCAATCGTTATACCAAGAATAGTTATACTCGGTATATGCTCATAATAACGGAAGAATATCTTTTGACTTATAAACTTGGTATATCTTCGGCGTAAGTATTCCACCCTTACGTTCGATGCACGTAGCGGCAACGCCGCATTTTATAGACAAAAACGAAAAAAAGAAAGTATTTTGTCTGTTGAAGTGTCAAATATCACTGAGTTTAACGCAAGTTTAACGTTTGGTTGATTGATGTTACATGTGGTTATTCCTTGAACAAGACGCGGGTGATTTTGTGCAAGTTATTGTAAATTATTAATTCAATTATAAACTAATATAAATAATTTGAATTTGAATTTAATATCAAAATGGCAAGTGAAAGTAGTATCTCAGCGTTATCAGTATCTGCAATATAGCTCACTGCCAAATAAACGTTCTAACAATACGACGCCGTCTTTGGAAAAACGATATTTTATACGAAATTCGTCGTCATTGTATAAAAGGAAGGGATCGTTTCTAGTTCTAAATATTTTAGATTTTCTTCTCGTCCTAAACATTTGCGATCGATTGATCAAATTTTTAATTTCTTCCACTTTTTGTATTGTCTAAACGCCATATTTCAATAAACACACGTTTCAATATTATTAAAAATTATCTAATACGGTAAATATTTGGTAAATATCAATAAAGCATCAACAATATCAAAATGTCATTTGACAAATCCGTTGCTACACCAAAGTTATACTAGGGTGACGGGCGGAATATCGGTGGAATAAGTTTTGTTAGAACGTTACATCCAGGTTATGCTAAGCATAAGTTACACCGAGTTTATAAGTTGACATTTTGCGTATTCTACACATATTCTCGGTATAACATTTTATACCACGTTTATAAGTAGCGCTGTAAGTCATGAATTCATGATATGCATTTCCCGTTGCTAAAAATTTTAAGGTTACAGCACAGCTAACCGCTGTTTTGCGCTATATAAGGTAAGACTAAGATTAATATATGATCAAATTTTGCAGAACTCATTCTGTAGTAGTTCAAACTGCATAGTTGGTCATTTAGAAGCAAATATTTTTCACCCAACATTTTGTTTTATTATTTACGCCCGCAGTTAAAGTATGGGCTATGCCAATTTTTTGGTACTTTGTGAGCCAAGGAGCCATCCTTTCAACGCCACGTTTACATGCCAACTGAGTTAGGGAGGCGATCTAGTGCAGTGTAATCACAACGACACCAACCGCCCTAAATCGCGGCCGATAAATCGTGCCCGATAGATTGGGTAGTGTAATAGGCGCCTATGTACTCGAGCAAGTGAGTAATCTTCATAACAAAGAAACTAGACTTATGTCTATGGTTATTTTTTTTATAATGAAGAAATATTTAAAAAATAAAAATTATTTCTTGGACTCGTACTAGTCGCGATGTTTTGATATTGTCTATGATTTTCATTCAAATGTTGTGTCTGACGTAATAAAAGTAAATTGAGTATCGAATAATGCATCAGCTGAGTGTTCCTGAGATATTAGTACGGTTCATTTGCAACTCAATCACAACTAGATCCATCCCGATAAGGCATCAAAATCATTCACTGGCAAGGACGATCTGGAAAGGGTTACCTCAAGGATCAATCCTTAGTCTCATTTTATATTGTTTATACACGCATGATATGGAGCTTTCCACAAATTGCTTTTGCGACACTCTCCAATACGCAGATGATACGTTAGAAAAACACGGGTTATCAATCTTCCCACCAAAGTGAAGTGCTGTTATCATTACCAAAAAACGAAATGTCCCTATTCCTGTTATAAAATTTCAAAATTCTGTCATAGAAATAAAAGACTCTGTTAAATTCCTGAGCTCGTTCTTCGTGCGCTGTCTGGTGTTTGGTGGGGTGCACACCCAGTTACCCAAAAACTAATATATAACGCCATAGTGCGCAGTCACTTCGATTATGGTTCCTTCCTTGTCGACCCTTGCAATGTATCCGCATTAGACAAAATAAACAAAATTCAATCAAAGTGTCTGCGTATTATTCTAGGGGCTCTGAAGTCCTCCCCATTAATGCCCTCCAAATAGAAGCTGCTGACCCCCCTCTTTTTCTTCGTAGGCAATATCTTAGTGATAGATTTGTCCTCAAAATTTTACAAAATGAATCCCACCCGTTGCTAGCTATACTACACAAACTTGTCGACGTTACTGACATAGGTCCCAATTCACATCAAAAAATTCCCTGTATTTTAACGAGTTACTCGGAGTTCTGTCGCCCTTCTATAATGATCGAGAAATCCCCCCGTAATCCTCTATTCCTAAATAGCTTTGAATCGTTGCTTTTTAACCCTAACATAGTACTGAATTTGGGTATTGAAAAACATTCTCCCAGTGCAAACCAAGATTTAAATAAAGTAATTGCTAAAAACTGGCCTCATTGGCTTTCAAATGTTTACAGATGCCTCAAAACTGTCAAACACGAGTAGTGTTGGTGCTGCAGTGTGGATACCTAAGTTTAGAATAGCATTAAGTTTAAAAGTTCCTTCACCCTCATCGGTCTTTACAGGTGAAGCAATAGCTATTCTAGAAGCTATCTTATATTGTGAATCTCACAACCTTCATCATCATCATCATCATCAGCCCTTTTACGTCCCCACTGCAGGGGCTCAGGCCTTCCTTATGGATGGTTAAGGAGGATGGGCCATGACCCTCCACGCTGGCCCAATGCGGATTGGAGGGTATTAACGACTGCAAAATGCAGCCGGGACCAACGGCTTAACGTGCCTTCCGAAGCACGGAGTAGCTCGAGATAGTAATTTTTTGGTCACCCATCCCGTGACCGACCCTAGCGAAAGTTGCTTAACGACTACGATCGCGGGCCGCGGCGCTTATCCACTACGCCACCGAGCTACTCTTTAAAACTTTAATTTTATCTGAAACTTTAATTTTATCTGATTCAATGAGTTGTCTTCAATCAATCTCTTCCAACCCAGGTCTAAATCTCGTTTTCCTATTATACTTAAAATTAGAGAAAATTAGAGAGCGTTATACAGATGTAGAAAGAAAAACTTAGAACTGGTGTTGGCTTGGATCCCAGGCCACAGTGGCATAAAATTCAATGATTCGGCGGATTCATGTGCTCGTATAGCAATATCTAGTGGTACTGCTAGCTATTCCAAACTACCATGTCAAGATTTTCTACCTCTTACTCATTCTCATTTATATCAGTCGCGGGAAACACATTGGCAGAATACTTCCAACCAATAATTCCCTATAAACCTTGGTATCTCCGTCGGAAAAATATTCCAAAACAAGTGGTTTCAGTATTGTGTCGCCTTCGACTTGGACACTCTTGCGTCCCTGTCCACTTAGCCAAAATTAAAGTTAAGGACAATTCCCTTTGTGAATGCGGACTGGATGAAGGATCGGTCGAACATGTGTTATTTGAATGCGCCAAACTTCGTTATTCCTTATATGATTCCCTTCCAAATGATATACCCCGGCCCCTAAATGTCAAAACTATCCTTCAATTAGTTAATTCACCTTTGTTAAGCATACTAATTAAATTTATATTAAATAACAAAATTAAATAGTAAAAGTCCAAATATTTTATCCCCCCCTACTCAATCGGTACCCATAGGTGAATTTGTTGTGTAATGTCCTGCATGTCGTAAAATGTGTTGTATTTTGTTTCAGGATCGCTAAACTGTCATAGGAAGTGAAATAGATTTTTAAAAAGCCTCTTTCCAAAACCTTTTTTTCTCATAAATGTCCCTACCGTGTAATAGCTTTTCACGTGAAATTGGCAGAATTGTGCGAAACGCGCAGATAAGCCATTAATAAAAGAAGAAGAAGTATCGAAAATTAATAAATATGACATCGTTTCGTGTTTCTTATAATATCTAACTTTCAAATTATTTTTATTTTATTTGAATCGTAATTTAAACTTCTTCTTCTCACAACGGGCGTCTCCGCAACTCGACGACCAAATTGCGCCTATTTTGCGTGTGGAGGGTGTGTGGCCGGATGCTACTCCAGCCAGCCCAGCTCTGCCAGGAACGCCCCGAGTGCCTTCACATCTGCGATGGCCTCTTGGAGGTTACCCGGCGAGCCGAGGTGCTTTGCCCGGTAGTTGGCCACTCCGTTGCATTTCAGCAGGACGTGAGTGGCTGTTTCTTCCGCCTCCATGCATCCTCTGCACAAGGGGCTGTCAGTGACACCTAGATTGAAAAGATGCCTGTTAAAGTTGCCATGACCAGTAATAGCATCCGTTACCAGGCGCAAATGTGGTTTACTTAGCTGTAGGAGGGCTTTGGAGAGGCGAGCGTTCACTCGGGGTAGTGCAAGTTTGGCCTGCCTGCAGGTTTCCAAAGTGTGCCAGTATTGTTGATGTAGTTTACTCGAGTGTTCACGTATC